GATACACAATGGTCTGCCCGTTTCGCCAATATATTCATCTCCGCAATTGTTACACGAGATCAGGTATATCGTACCTGAACTCATGCAATCACCTTCCCTGCCGTAAGGGCAAATTACGAAATTTGTTGTTTCACACAGACGGTCATAAAGGCGGTTACGAACTAACTGACGACGTAGAGTAGCCGGCGGTATTCCAACTATCGCTACCGATTCCTCTAGAGCTGCCCTTTTAAAGCATCGTTTAATAGCTACGCTTAGTTCATCATTATCATCAGTATACCGTCCAAGCTCTGAAGAAGGCGACACTGCCGAAACGTCAGCTAGTGTTGTATTGTATTGTGTTTTTCCATGGAAGTAAATGTATGCTGTTTAACAACTTCGCGACTGCTGAACAAGAAAACGACGCGTTCCTTTTTCTTTGTGATGAAAGCAGCTATGGAATTTGGAGGGCGACAGCTTTCTCCCCAGACTTAGGCTCCGCCTCGCGCTCTCAGCCTGCGCAGTTCTCGGCCTCCGTGAGCAGCGCTACTGCATTGTCTTTCTGATTCCAAACTAAAGAGTTGCCCAATTGGTGTTAAACCGTTTGTCGACTCTTAGATATATATTCAGTTAATATTTAATCTATTTGGGTAATCAGTGCTGCCACACTCATGAAATGAAGTGACATATAAGTCAGCTTGCTGCCCTCGAGATCACAGGTTCGATCCGTATACAGTTTCTCGAAGTCACAGTGGTTCATTGTTGTTATGAGTTCTAATAACTGCTTTAACCAACTTTTGAACAGATCAAATCGTAAAATATAATTGAGCTTACGTGGATTAGAAACTAAGATTAGAATTTACTCTTTTCCAACCTTCTTTCAAGCAATCTATCGATTGACATTTTTATGACGTTATTTTACTTCGTCACTTGTGACCTTTTCTAGTTCACATCTAATCTCTATTCTGGTGTTTCCTGAGCAATTCTTCCATAGCCAACATGTCGACCAGCATAGACGTACAATCATTCAAAAGAGCAGATGTGTTTTCGCACGTTTTGAAAACCATGATGATTTGTTTTGTGAATTCAATACTTCTTAATTTTTTTGTCGACGGTATAAGTCGACTTTTCATCGCCTTGTCACTGATGAGATACGTATTTTGGAGAGTTCGGAGTACATCGATGATCTCATACTATCTGTTCTGGAGCTTGTTTTGGACCACTGTATGCCTCTGGCCCGTTCAAAGGTCTACAGTCAAATTTGCTGTTTTCAAGTTAATGTCGGTTAGGTATCTTTTTCAGTCTGAACTTTTCACCATGACCTTTTCCAGATAATCGATATGAATCCTTCTGGAAGTTTTGCTCTGATTTTTCATCCCCTTGATTTAGAAGAATATAATGTGAGTGAATTATTCTACATTTTGCTGATGTTTTCTTTGAGGGTAAACTCATTCGGCTTCACTGTTCACCTTGTTTTCTCATTTTCAAAAAACCTGTTATATTGTTACAGTACACTCTCACGATCTACTGCCGACTTACATATAGTACTTTTCATGGACTATGCTACATATTGGCCCGAAAAGATTTTTCATTAAAGCATTTTTTATGCTTTCATTGTTAATATTCATTATCAATATTATTGTTATGCTAGCCATCGAAACAATCTGTAGACAATGAGTTCCTCAGTAATACGATGACGCCACGTAAAGTCCCAGTTTATTTTGAAGTTCTGAAGAGAATATACTGTTTGAATGAATGACATGACATGTTGAATGAATGACATGATCCAATCCAGTCGCGTAGGAGGATTAATCGGGCCTACTTCAAAGCACTAATGACGGAAGCGTAATGTGTGTTTAAAGGGTCGAAGACTTTGAAAGGTATTGCCATCGCAGTATGCTAGCATTTTACCATAAGTTCCTGCATTTTTATCGAATAAATTTTATTGAAACTAGTCGAGCAGCAGTCGTGCAGTCGTCTAGAGTGTGGAGCTATTCTGGAAGTGGCGGGGACCCAAGCTATCATTTTCCCATAGCCTCAGTATGATATCATGCCACTACCATATGTTCTAATTGTAAGCGTATCTGTTATAGATCGCCGTCATGCCGATATTCTGATTAATGAAGTAATTTTGACGTTGAAAACAGTTCACTATCATCCCTATCGCATCCATATTTTGCCCTTGGACGTGCATTTACTTATAAAAACACTGGATATTTGTTTTTTCTTTTGCCTAATTACGTAATTTGTTTTGCTGCTAAGCTTTTACTATGATTTTACGGTCGTAACAGCTCTGATTAATGGGTTAACATGATGACGATTGAACGAACTTTCGCCCGGATATGCGCCATGAGATCTTTATTCGCATCTCTCACCTCTCTTAACAGTTTTTAGTGGTTTCCCTAATATAATCTTGCTTTTAACTTGAAAACCTAAACTTTGAAGTCTTATAATATGAAATCTATCTTTTAGTTGATTGTATTAGACAGTCGGGACTAACTGCTGCAGTTTACCTTATGAAGTTGTTTTACTAGCTGGACCACGAACGCGCGCCAGAGAACTCGATGTTTTTGCGTTATCGCAAAATTATCATCGTTTTGGCAGCTCGCACGCTCATTGTCCCAGCCTAACACACATCACTCGCACGCGCTACATGTCCTACGCAGATCCAGATCAATTAGTCCCGAGGGCAAAGTTTCCTTCGGATTCTTACTGAGTCGTCCGCGCCTTCCACTCTTCACATAGTATTATGGTCATTTCATGCGGCCTAGTATTTTCATCAGGTGACTTTTTTGTTTTTGGATGACTCAGTTCAAAAAAAAGTCCGGTCACTATTAGCTCTTAATGTTTAGCTCGTTGACCCTTCTCACGCTCCTTGCCAATAACAAACAAGTTCCCACTGTTGTCATTCCTCAGAGTTACACTGCTGTTTCGACGGCTCGGAAATCAACCGACCCCCCCCCCCCCCCCCCCCCCCATGGGGCACATTTTGCGCTAATCACTATTGAAGATCAGCTTTTCAAGCGTTTTCTGCTGCTTGACAGGACTACGCTAAGCAATGTGGTGGTACCACAAATGTCATTATGCCTCGAGTACTGCTGAAGTCATATTTGCCACTTTTACGGAGAGATGTTTTCACTGCAATCAATGGCGAGATGTTATCTATCAGTCTGTCGTCCAACAACTGCTGCTGACAGCACGTACCTCCCGTATCAAACAACACTGCCGGCAGCATCGGCGCCAACCACACCCTGCATGTGTTTTTCCCACCCGCTTTACGGGTTTCGTGGTTCAGCCAAGTCAAATCTACTGCTCTGCCAACGCACTGCTGTCAGTTTTATTTCCTCTTTGAGTCGATGTTAATCACATTCGCTTCCAGTCGTCACTGAACACACACAAGCGAGATTTTGAGAGGGGAAAATGAACATGTTTTAATGCGTTATTGGACACGATTTTAATACAATGAACCACACCAATCTTGATGAACCTGATATTTGAGAGAGAAAAGAGTGTTAGGATTCTTAAGCCTATTTGAAGCTTATAGGCAGAATCCAATTTTCATTCTGTCATATGGGCGAATTTGATTAGCGGTAATTGGACCTGAATTGGTACTATCTAGCAAACAACACCGTTTCGTTTGAAAGAGGGCAAGTACAAAAGGACAATTTCTTTAGTAAAGGAGTGGTTTAACCGTACCATGGAAGTTTCAAAGTGTATATGTTATATTGCACTCTTTGAGGAAAGTACAAAACAAAGCAGCTTGTTGACCACAATAAACATTGCTCAAGAAACCAAAGTGCTCTTTACAGCATCTATGTTTAAGATTTACTCGTGAAAATTCCGGAGTAAACATTCAGTGCTTTGAATCGTAGCTCTAAGGCGCCGAGCAGACGCTGAAGCTCAGAGTGGCAGCTGTCAATTAAAGGCTTATTGGATTTTAAATTCTTTTGGTTCAGTGCATCGAGTTAAATTCAGTTTTCGATGGCAAATATTTCCTGTTTTTATTATCACTGTTGTTATAACTATTACTACTTTTCCAATTCGTTAATCTCTACCACTGAGTATTCGTGCGTGTGGGCTCGCGCCTATCGAGAAGTTGTTTATTTGTATTTCGGTCTTCTGAAAGGCTTAGCCTATCGCTGTTTCTCAGAATCGTCAACGTCTCATCTGCTTGGACGGGAGCACCTCTGCAATTTTTATGGAAGCAGCAGCGGTTCGTCTATAATATAACACAGAAGAAAGAGGAAAACAATGTACGACTTTTAAATGCTTCACTTGCTTGCTGTATCTCTGTGTTAATTTCTACATTGAAAAGGTTTGTTGATCACAAATGCTTTCCTCTATTTGGAAGGTAGCACAGAAACTTCTAGCACTGGTGTCAGAAATAATCATGTTATTCATTAATAACTCGAAAGACCGACTTTCTATGAACCTCGGCATAAATAGTTGATATATTTATTTATGAGATCTTATAAACTGATCTTCTTAAGCTGACGCGAGGTTGGTACAGATCTTCGTTGTCGTTGTCGTTGTTTTTGATGTTATTGATCGATGGCTGACGTTTCGGCGACTTCGCCTTCCTCAGAGCCTGGACGTACTTTATGTTAGAATACTTTTTATTATTCGGTGGAAAAGAAGGTTAAANAAAAGGTTTGTTGATCACAAATGCTTTCCTCTATTTGGAAGGTAGCACAGAAACTTCTAGCACTGGTGTCAGAAATAATCATGTTATTCATTATTTGAGGGATAATTGTAAAAAGAAATAAAGCTCAGCTGTTACTCATCTGCCCTATTTAGACATTCTGTGAATAAATTTTGCAATTGACTGAATTGCGCTTCAATAGCTGAAGTTGCTGGGCTTTGTTGAGAATACGCCACTTGTCCACATCGTTTCGTGCTTCACAGCGGTGATTCGGCAAGAAGGCGTGCTGCCAAAAGGCAATTTTTCAATTACGAGGCTTTTTGTCTGTCACACCTCATCACCGGACGGATCCCGACACTGCCGCAATCCGCTGACGCGCATGGCCGGCTTTCCGTGCGCTGCCGCATTGCGTCACACAGGTGTTCTCGCCTATCGGATCGGATCGGATCGGAACTCGTGCCGTCACCTCGAGGCACTGGAAGCTGCTCTACTCTCGAAAACGCAATCAACTGTTCACTACCGAATATTGGTGTCCATACGACGTTTTCTATCGTACTGGCTGAGCGGTCTGGAAAAATTGTTGTGAATTTCGGGGGCAATCAATCATCTTGTCATGGATGAACGCTGAATAAATAACTTAAGGTTTTTTTTTGAGATGCTGCATAAGTGCCTTTGAAAATTGGTGTTCCTCTGAAAGATCACCTATGGTTTCATTCAAATTCTGGAGGTATTCAGATTTAGAGAATTAAAATCCACGCTTCATTCCAAATCTTGCACATGGATGGAAATCCATGAAAAATTTGCAAATTCAGCTAGGAGAAGAGCAATACGCTTTCGCTCACCATTCTGATAGCATCTGACAAAAAACTCTGGCTTAAGGCAGTTCGCGGCGGCCTTTGTTGGTTAGTGAAGCGCACCACTTAAGTCGTCTATAGTCCACTCATCTGAGCGCATTTCTCAAATTGCTAGAAAATTTCACACAAAATAGGGAATCGATTTTTACATTTTGCTTCCGTTTTCCTACGTCTGCTCATGGAAGTGCATAAACTGATGAAGCATCGATAAAATGATAAAATGATAAACGATAAAACGACGATGCCGGTAGTGTTGTTAAACTTTATTACGTCCGCACAAAAGTTATTTTCATCGTAAATGGACTTTCATTTAACCTCGGTTTAAATGATCGATGTACCTCGTTTCTTTGATAAGCTAACACGAGGTTGTTACCAATATTTATGCCGCTGACGTTTCGACGACGTCTTCGTCTTGCCTAGAACTGATGGTTCCAGTCGATGGTCCACAGTCGAAGATATTTTCGCTAGCAAATGCATGCATTCCTTCATCGAAAAATAGTTTTCATTCCTACATTCTTTCCTTCCTTTTCTGCAAGAGGTAATCAGGTGTGTTTGTAACTAAATTACAGTAGATTTTCTACGAAATGCCACTCCTGAACTATCTAACTAGATGGGTTATTTCTTTTAAAAAAAAGTATTCCATGCTCTAACTACAATTTTCATAATGATCATGAGGTCATAGGCAGTGGTGATGAACCTATGGCTTTACAGAAGAAACTTTCGAGAATTACTACTAATCGTGGAAGAAAGGAGTAAAGCAGTACCAGCAGATCAATGTAAACCTTCCGTTCTTCTTCTCTTCCACAATCGTCACTTTTGGTTTATATAGCAATATAGAGTGAGCTATATTATGTTTTTAAGTGACTTTTGAAGTTTCGACTATTTGGTGCTAGTATTTATCACTGACACCATAATGTATACTATCTCAGGCTTAGGGTTTGAAATTTGTCAGAAGGGGAAGTACACCTCAGTCATTAGAACTATTTGCCATTAGATGGATAATTGTTTTATAGAAGGAGAGTCTTTCCGGATTACTCGCGCTGTTCTTTTTCCTTGAAATGTCCAGTTGTTTCTCATTTAAGAACTCAAACACATCACTTCATCTAGACTTTCATTTACTGATGGCAACTCCTTAGATGGAAAACAAGCCTGTCATTCACACTTGTCCTATTTCACATTCGCTTGAGTATATATACGACTTTCTCTTGCCTCTTTCCTTATGCGTTTTATTTCTTTTTTGGACTTTGTACTTTCTGCAATATTCATTAAATACTATAGGTATGGCTTAGGAAGTCTTATAACAGAGAGATAGCACGAAAAGTGAAGGCTTCAATTTCAAACATTCTACGTATTTCTTTGCCTTTTTTGTCAGGACAACTTACACATACTCGGTTGGTCTTCGAATGTGGTAAACACGAAGAATCGCGCGACGATATTTTCGTGGAATTTTCTAAGCTAGGCTCTTTGGACCTAAGATGTGTTCGCCATGCTGTGACCAGGTTTCTCTTAGAACAGCGGCATCGCCTGAAATTGGGTACTATGCAGCAATGAAGTTTTCCTTTTATAGTTTTCCTAGAATTTCGTATCGGCCTCTCCATTAATCTCGGTGTTTATAATGGGCGATTCCGAGCTTGTTGTTTATTTCACAGTGGCTGAAATCCTGTCTGCGCTTTTCGGCCTTTTTCAGGAAGAGATGGTATTTCTTGGGGGGATCTTGTTAACAGAGCTAACTCAGGAAAAAAGTTTTCATAACATTAAGGTCATTTAAGCAAGAACGTGTGTTTATTCTCTTAAATGGTTTCCACATGCAAGGTCTTTAAAATTGTTGAAATATTTCTTAAGTCCATAGGATTGAGTGTTCGACAGGATTTTACGATAATGCGAGGAATTTCATCGTTCAACTTTTTTGTCCACGTTCTCCCTCGTGTCAGTGATCAACCATTTTACAAAATTGTAGGTTTTTGGCAGTGGTAAATGAAGACAAAATGGCAACCACCAAATAGCATGCCTACTTCGAGAATTTGGAAAAAGATATAGCGTTTAGTTTTGATCAACCCCGATAGCTGCGTCACTGATTCTACTTCACAAAACATCGTTAGAGATGGCTGAATGCATATCTGGTCTATGCGATGATTTACGGTAGCCTCTCGATGGATTGATTCAGCGTTGCTATCTTACCAGCTAAGTCTAATAGCAACTAGGAGAACCCAAAGGACTAGGGAAGGCTTGGCGATCCTAAGGTGCGGGATCAAACACACAACCGCAAGTGTTTTACAGTGTACCTCTAAGCACTGCTGTAGACGTGGCGAAAAAATATGTACATTCGTAAAATCAGAGGAATTCGTTTCTCACATTTATCGAACTCCCTCCTCTCACATGTGTTTTCACGTGGTGATATTTGTGCTTACCTGTGTAAAGAGTGATTTTATGTATGCAGACCGTTTCTCGCATGCTGATTCAGCAAAAACGTCTTCCAAAAAGCAGCTAGCTTCAGTCGGAAAGTGATTTGCAGCTGCTTCCAGCAAATGAGTCTCACTTAGACCACAGCAAGCAATATGGATAACTGGTGGTATCTAGAATCTATTGATGTTGGCGAGATCGTAGGTGATTGAAAAGCTGATACGTTCCGATGCCAATTTTAAATCGACTTCATTAAGTGACTCTTTGAAAAATTCCATTTCATGGTACATCGTGGAGCCCACGATTCTTTCCAAGATTCTGTATGATATTTTTCAAGGTTACGGTACGCGCCAAAACTAGTGCAAAGAAATACTTCAGTTTCAGAGGATTATATGACTATCTTGGGTGTATTACTGATGGCAGAAATCTATAGAACTAGCTGAGAGACAGGCGAAACGAAAGACCCGCATGGTGTGGTGGTGAACGCGTTACTTCTCGGAAAGGACAATGGCAATAACGCGTTCGTTCCCCATCGCAGACACCTGCAATCTGGAGTTTTGCAAGTATCTCAGCATCATTGTAGTTATATTTTGAGTGTCTTTACCGCACTGAGTTAGAGATGCCCTGCTAAACACAAGTCGTTGCTTCGTTCCTCTGTGTCGAGCTCACCTAGCCTTCCTTCCCTACATGTTCGACTAATAATTGGTACCAGATTTGTCTAGGAGGATAGAAACGCACACTTGATACATCGGCAGAGCACCGCGAGACTCAATCACTTCTGTGACTTCCTAAGTGGTGTAGTGCATGGTGCATCGCTCAAGAGCTGAACAACACCGAATGCTTTGTTCTTTCCTCTCTTTATAGAAAAGGCCATCTTATTTTTCTGGCACAAGCTTGCCTCTCCACCATTAGGAATAAAAGTGTGAACCACCTTTTTTACTGTTATTCATTCCCTTCACAATACACTGGATGTCATTAATATCTGATCTTGTCACTGAAAAACTAACCTCGTTGTTTTTTAAACGTTTTTCACCTCCAACGTTATTCACAACTGACGTCTGCGATTTTAAAGTGTTTGAAAACCTCTGTATACTCGTTCTCTTACGACCACTGTGTTGAAATCAAAATTCATATTACGTAGTGTAATAGAAAACTAAAGTGCTTCTCATTCGTTGTAAATCTCGACGCTTTCGTCTCTTGTTCATCTCGTGCTAAATATGATAGCATCCAATTAGATTATTGCTGAATGAGCGGCAGGTTATATTGAATTCGTTGGTTGAATATATTCCAGCGGATTTTACTAATTTTAGTTAAATGGATTAGGCTCAATGTTTCTATGCAACGAATACAATTTTCAGTAATCTATTAATATCTTAGTAAACTTTGTTTACTTCTTTATTCCCTGCTTATTACAGTTTTCCAACGGTCTACCGCCTCATCGTTGGTGGGAGGTGTTCCTGGGTCTCGAACTGCGATGTACAGCGGGGGATTCATCCTCTGGCAGGGTCTCCCAAGCTGAGAAGGAGTCTGGCATTTCCATTAGGAAATCTAGCTAAGAATAAACCATTATCAGGATCTATCACCGTCCTGGTATCAAAGTTGCATGGTGGTAAATCTTCCTCTGATCCACAAGGGCTGCGACTGCCCGTGGTGGTGAACACCTCGGGCAGACTATGGCCAGGCTGACCTCGGAACTACAGGAAACCATAATGGCTTAACCCGCAAATCTCCGAAAAATGGAGATTATGCTGGGGTCCGCACAACCAGTGAGGAGGGGCCGTTCAAGTATCAAGTAAGTATCAAAAATACTTTATTCGACTCTGTTCAGAAAGATAAGTAGACTCGTCTCACCTTCCAAATAGTCCTTCGCCTCAGTGTGCCGTTGTAGCCAAGTATTTGCGTAACTGCTAGCCAACTTTGATAACCACAACGAAGCAGTGGGTAACGCCGATAGAATGCCGTTCTTCGTCGACGTGTAATGATGAACGTCATGTAAATAGCTGAAAAGCTCCGTGAAAGCTGCATTAAGACCACCATCTTATTTGAGGTCGTCTTCTATTCATTTCTTTGCAGCGATTACTATATTTTTACAACATCATTACTGCAGTCGTCGAATACATGCGTAAATTGGACGATCTTCGTAGACGATGTATGGACGAGAACGAACCGAACGAAAGAAACGCTGCTATCTGCACAACATATGGAGACAGTTTATGTATATAGATGGATAGATGGCTTTATCACTACAACCTCCATCTATTGTAAGGCAACGCTCACATATCAATCTGTATAAGTAAAAACGTGCAAGCAATACCACACTTGCATTGATCTT